ATAAAAGAAAAAAAAAGCCTTCAAAATCTAATATTAATAAAGATTTTGAAACTTCTGAAATTTCAAATCAATTTGATTATCAAGATGAAAGTAATAATCTAGAAGATAGCATTTTATATAAGTTAAACAAGTTAGAAGAATTAGTTGCCATGCATTTTGTGAATGAAGAAAGTCAAGAAATAAAATTTTTAAATACATTTGAATTTGAGGATGAATTGATTGACAATTTCCAAGTTCTAAACGATAATATTAAGGCCAAAATTCGTAAATTAAGTAATTTTTTTCTTTTATCCATCGAATCTGGATCACATTATTATTGGAAAATCGGAAAAATTCATATTCATAAAAATAGGTTCGAAAAGGCATCAATCTATCTTGGTTATTGCCAAAGAGAAGATAAAGAGCATAAATGTCTAATTGACTAATTAGCAAAAAGAGTAAGTAAAATAAGGCTTCCAATTAACCGATATCCATGTGAAGGAAATGCTATAATCAATATTAATCTTAGTATATGTCAAGCAAAATTGAAATTCGGCACTCAATTTCTTATGAACATCCAACTCATCATGATAATAAATTACCTCTAAAAATATAAAATGAAATTTCAAAAAATTGATATTTATAAACAGCTTTGTAAAGAAGGTCAAATAGATCCGAAAATACATAGCTATAATCAAGTATATTATTGGGCATCAAAGTTTTCTGCTTAACAATATCTTATGAATGCATCAAATCAACTTCTTTTCTCTCTAAACTTTTTAAAACAAAGCAAATTAGTTGATTAAGGGTTTAAAGTTTTGTTATATATCGAAAATGACTTTGTTCGTGTATTTGGATTTCTTACCCTTTTTAATAATCATATAGAAAATCAAATATAAATGAAATTATTGTTAATTCTATGTATAAAACCAATCAACAAAAATTTGAACTCTTTGCAGTATTAATAAATCATGGAGAACATGGTGTTCCACTTGCCTATCTATTCATTGACACTTTTGTAGCTTCAAAGGATCTTCTTCAGTACCCTAAAAATAAAATTAATTCACGATTAAAAGTTCTTAAAGAGTTTTTTTTATCATTAAGAGATGAATATATCCTACTAACTTTTGTTCTTATAGATAAAGATTAGGGATGCATCGGTCCAGTCCAGTCTGTCCTGGTCCCTAATAGACCGATTAAATAGTGATTTACGGTCTGGTCTGGTCCAGTCTCGGTCTCAAAATGGTCCTTCTATAATTACGTCATCTCTAAATACATGAGATATTATTGGTCGAAAATGACGTAATTACAGATCATCGGATATAAACAAACATTATATGATCTATGTTACACCTGATCAAGAAATTTGATTGGGTGATACAAAGATCACATTTATATTTACAAGGACCGGTACTAGGACCAGTCCTTTAATAGTCCACGGTCCTTATCGGTCCCAGTCCAGAACCGGACCAGACCAGTTTTTTTCAGGACTGATGCAACTCTAATAAAGATGCAGGTCAAATAATAGTCATACAAGAGGCTTGGTCTGGAAGAGTAAAAATTCAGTTATGCTTATAGCATATTAAGTATGCAATAAGTTGAAAACTAAAAGAAAAAGGTGTAAAACAAGTCAATACATATTCATAAAAGCAAAAGAGGCAAATAAGCAATTTAATTTTATTGATATCATCTGGATTCCTAAAGAAAATAAAAGTATTTTATATTTGGAAGAAAATATAAAAGAGATTTTAGCTATAATTCATAAGCACTCATTATTACATTCTTTAATACCATTTAACAAAGAAATATTTCTTACCTCAGAAAAGATTTATTATGAAAGTGTTAAAGAAATTTATATTTATTGTAAAAATAAAAATCTGGTTTATTTATAGAGATACTTGTGGTCCAATTGGTATAATAAAGCTGATTGGATTCTTTTTTGCTAGAGCTTCTTTTTCTAATACAATTCCATTAGCAAGAATGACGATGCTTGTTGAATTGCATTGGCGTATTATAAAAAATGTTTATAAATATACTTGTAATCATCCTCATTTAGACTGCCTAATGCAAATTCTAACAAGAAACTTGATTCCAGATCAAATAAATACTTGGGAAAGATATAATAATAAACGAAATCATCTCTCCTAGTGGAATTCATTTAAAGGCAAATGGAAAAAAGCATTAGATAAAGAAATAGACTCTGAAAATAATTATTTAACAAATATTAATGATTGGATTTGTAAGATTCTGCAATCTGAATGGGTAATCCAAGAATCAGAATTATAGCAAAAGATTCTAAAGAAACTACAAGATTCCTAGAGGTCTGGATCTCAACCAAGAACCAAAAAAAGTCTGATATATTCAAAGCATGAAGCATAGTAGGCAAGATCACAGGTCTACTAAAGTACAAACAGATATCTTTGAGCCAGATCATATATGTAAACAATGCAATTCTTATACCTACTTTAGAGTATAGATTAATGATTTCATGTCTAACTAA